ATAACTATATCCGAGTAGTTTGGAGTAATTTGCGCCATGTAAATCGTCAAAAATGGTGTATTCGCTGTTAGCTTACGACCTCCACGAGTAATTTTTCAAAAATATTCTTCTCAATTAAGTATCATATTGGATAGGGGCTGAACGTGTCCTGGATTGGAATTTTTCCGATCATTCCCCTAGGAGGAGTTGGCACGAATGTGCTTAAAATGCATAAAAAACGCACTTATTTCAAAATGGCCGACTTTTTGGGGGGCGGGGCTAATGGAATGTATGTACAAATATGTCCGCAATTCCATGAGGAATGTCTGTGCCAAAATTCGTGAAGTTCTGAGAAACTATATGCGACTACCACACAATAGGGGGCGCTAGTGAGCAGTTTTTTTGAAAATGTACGTTTTTTTTTTACATTATGGAAAAAGTCGTAGGCTCTGACGTGTGTCCCAAGTTTTGGGTCCGAAGCTCATTTTATGCTATCGCAATTTGTAAAAAATGTATATGCAATTTTTTAAAATGGTATAGGCCACGCCCACATTCTGTATTTGTTGCGACACTTTAAATCTGAGTTCGTAGTCACCCCGAGAGTATGTCTAAAAAAAAATAATAATAATTCGTCCATCCGCTCTTGAGTTATAAATTTGTGGTGTTTTTGGCGCCCCCTATAGTCCTAAATTAAAATTATTTGGTGTGCCTATTTCCCAAGACAGATTGAACCTTTCCACCAAAATCTGTGGTGAATGGATACATTGTTGATGAGTTATGAGCATTTCTTTATAAGCCTCGCCTTTTTGCGAGTACGTTTTAATTCATGGTGGAAATATTTATCGTTTGAACATGCTCATCTCCTAGGGTCATGTGTCTGACCCTCCAACGATGCTGTATACGAAGTTTGGTGTTGAAAAACTGAAAATTGAAATTTAAGTGAATATTTAACTGTGTATGTAAATTATGCCAATTAAAAAAAAAAAAAAGTAGGCGGAGCTTAGGGTTCCAATTGGATTATTTGTAGAGAAGTTCCACCCGGATATGTGTGCAAAATTTCAGGTCATTCGGAGTTACGGTGCGACTTTGTGAATGTATTCGGAAATGGAAATTTGATAGGGGGCGCTAGCGAGCATTTTGGAATATTTTAACCCATTGACTCCAGAATGTTGCAATTTTTACCGGTTCTGGAATCCGTGCAAAATTATACAACTTTGTCAGCATCCTAAAGGCCTCAAAAACAGGAAAGATGGCGACTAAAAATAATAATAATTAAAACTGCGGTCGCACTTGTGCGCGCAGTGATGAGCGGGCCCTCGCGTCCGTGCGCCTGTCGGGGAGGGCGGCAGGTCGTCCCGGCGTCAAGCAGACGTGCGCGAGTCCTGGGAAATGAGCCGTTTGTCATTTCTCTAATTTTCGCGTCCCAGACTCCCAGGTGCTCCGGCAGCGACCCGGAAACGGATGTCGAAGGAAAACAAATTTCTCTAAAGGGTCGTCGAGGATCGATTATCGAGTCAGGCTGTCTGGAGGAGCCGTAACCGAGGATACACTGATTTAGAGGAGAGAGGAGTGTCTCTGGAGGAGCTATAACCGAGGGTACACTGAAGTATTCTCCTGAGACGATTTCAGCCAACAGTGATGTTTAAAAGAGGCGTGACGCATGACTGGACTTCTGTCAAACGAAGCACAGCTCTGCAAACTGTTCCTGTTGTGATTATAAGTTATTTGAGATGATCAAATGTGCATCAGACTTTCTGCCCTTTACCGTTTGTTTACTCACTAATCACATGTCCCCTGGATGTTAGGTGATGTTACAGTGAGAACAGCTGCTGAGGTCAGTGCAGAAAGCAGAACAGTGTGTATAATATATATCGCTCAATAACAAAAGTAACAGGCCTACATGTCACACTTTTTTTGTAGGCTTTAGGAGATATCTACAAATAAACATTAGGGTTAGGGTTAGGGTTAGCGAGTGTCTTTTGTAATGAATATGCCGCCAGCAAAGGGCGTTGTTGGACTAACAGTAGGTGTGTGTGTGTGTGTGTGTGTGTGTGTGTGTGTGTGTGTGTGTGTGTGTGTGTGTGTGTGTGTGTGTGTGTGTGAGAGTTGATGTGCCAGGCAAACAGGCAGGCCTCAGTAGCTTATCTGACATATAATTGGTGAAAAATGGTACATTCTCCGTTAGCCTACGAGCTCCCCGTTTGAGCGAAGGACTATTCCTTCTCAATGTAGCATGACATTGGATATGCGCTGAAGTTGTCCTGGATTGGAATTGTTCCGATCATTCCCCTATGAGGAGTTTACAGAAATGTCCTTAAAATGCATGAAAAACGGCCAATTTTCAAAATGGCCGACTTTCTGGTGGGCGGGGCTAATGAAAGGCAATTTGAAATATGTGTGCAATCATAATAGCAATATGTATACAGCGTTTCGTGAATATCGGAAAAACTATATGCGACCAGTTTGGAGCAATTTGCGCCATGTGAATAGTCAAAAATGGTGTATTCGCTGTTAGCCTACGACCTCCACGAGTAATTGTTCAAAAATGTGCTCCTGAATTAAGTATCCTATTGGATAGGGGCTAAACCTGTCCTGCATTGGAATTTTTCTGATCATTCCCCTAGGAGGAGTTTGCAAGAACGTGCGTAAAATGGCTGAAAAACGCACATGTTTCAAAATGGCCGACTTTCTGGGGGGCGGGGCTAATGGAAGGCAATTTGAAATATGTGTGCAATCATAATAGTAATATGTATACAGCGTTTCCTGAATATTGGAAAAAGTATACGCGAGTATTTGGAGTAATTTGTGACATGTAAATCGTCAAAAATGGAAAGTTCTCCGTTCGCTTACGAAGTCGTCGTTTGAGCGATCAACTATTCCTTCGCAATTTAGCATCACATTGGAAATGGGCTGAACTTGTCCTGGATTGGATTTTTTCCGATCATTCCCCTAGGAGGAGTTCGCAAGAACGTGCGTAAAATGGCTGAAAACCGCACATTTTAAAAGATGGCCGACTTTCCTGGGGGGCGGGGCTAATGGAAGGCAATTTGAAATATGTGTGCAATCATAATAGCAATATGTATACAGCGTTTCGTGAATATCGGATTAACTATATCCGAGTAATTTGGAGTAATTTGCGACATGTAAATCGTCAACAATGGTGTATTCGCTGTTAGCTTACGACCTCCACGATTGAGCTATCAAAAATATTATTCTCCATTAAGTATCATATTGGATAGGGGCTGAACGTGTCCTGGATTGGAATTTTTCCGATCATTCCCCTAGGAGGAATCCGCACGAATGTGCTTAAAATGCATAAAAAACGCACATATTTCAAAATGGCCGACTTTTTGGGGGGCGGGGCTAATGGAATGTATGTACAAATATGTCCGCAATTCCATGAGGAATATCTGTGCCAACATTCGTGAAGTTCTGAGAAACTATATGCGACTACCACACAATAGGGGGCGCTGGTGAGCAGTTTTTTTGAAAATGTACGTATATTTTTTACATTATGGAAAAGGTCGTGGGCTGTGACTCGTGTACCAATTTTTGCGTAACGAAAACCATTTTAGCTCATCGTCATAAAAAAAAAAGTACAGGCCACGCCCACATTTGTCATTCGTTGTGACACTTTAAATATAAGTCCATACTCATCCCCAGAGTATGTCTACAAAAAAAGAAAAATATTTCGTCCATCAGTTCATGAGTTAGACATTTGTCATGTTTTTGGCGCCCCCTATAGTCCAAAATGGAAATTACTTTTTGTGCTTCTTCCCCAATACAGACTGAACCTTACCACCAAAATGTGTGTTTTTTTGGTACATTGTTGATGAGTTATGAGCATTTCTATCTAAGCCCCGCCTTTTTGCGAAGACATTTAGAGTAATGACGACCACATTTATCAACTGAACATGCTCATTTCCTACGATAATGTGTCTGACCCTCCGGCGATACTGTATACTGAGTTTGGTGTTGAAAAACCAAAATTTGAAATTTAAGTGAATATTTAACTGTTTTTCAAATTATGCTAATTTAAAAAAAAATAAAGTAGGCGGAGCTTACGGGTACTTGGACCTTATATGTAGAGCAGGTCCACCCGAGTAAGTGTGAAAAATTTCAGGTCATTTGGAGTTACGGTGCAACTTTGTACATCTTTCCAAAAACGGAAATGGCCATAGGTGGCGCTAGAGAGCATGTTGGACAATTTGAACACATTGACTCCAGAATATCAAATTTTTCACCGATTCTGGAATCTGTGCAAAATTATACAACTTTCTCAGCATCCTAAAGGCCTGAAAATAAGCATTGAAATATGGAATAATAATAATACCACGAATAACAATAGGTATCCTTGCACTTCGTGCTAGGACGCCGTTGGGTCCTAGCACTCTCGTGCTCGGGCCCTAATAATAATAATAATAATAATAATACCACGAATAACAATAGGGATCCTCGCACTTCGTGCTAGGACGCCGTTGGGTCCTAGCACTTTCGTGCTCGGGCCCTAATAATACCACGAATAACAATAGGTATCCTTGCACTTCGTGCTAGGACGCCGTTGGGTCCTAGCACTCTCGTGCTCGGGCCCTAATAATACCACGAATAACAATAGGTATCCTTGCACTTCGTGCTAGGACGCCGTTGGGTCCTAGCACTCTCGTGCTCGGGCCCTAATTATACTATAAATCATAGAAGCTAAAGGAAGTTACAGCTGATGTTTACCTTTCAAAAAAGCTCAATATTAAAACAATTCACAGTATTTTTGAAGTGGATCTGAAATGTTTCTCACTTATAGAGCTACAAATCCAAATTCATGGCCTAAAATGTGTACATTTCTACTTACAAAACAAAGTGTGAGGTCAAAGTGACTTCATTATCACTTCTTACAGTATATACAGTCTATGGTCAGTATCTTATATTTAAAGAACAAAAGTGAGGAAATCATTGATATTCGTCCAAAATGTATCTTGAACATCAACTGTTACAGTATATTTGTATTAGTACAAGGATGTCTTTAGAGGACTCACATCCGACGAAGCTTCTTGTAGGAGGTGAAGGCGCCCGGAGGAACCGACTTGATGCCATTTTGCTCCAAACGACTAGAAACAGAGAGACAGACATTTATTCGATGCCTTCCTGTCAAGTATTACGGCATGATTATTATTAAGTGGAACTAAAAATGCGAAATATAAATGAAATGTGGTGTATAAAAGTTTAAGGGGGGAGGTGGAATTTCTAGAAATCCAAAGATTACTGGTGAACAGATTAAACAGAAATAAGGTGAAATATTAAGAACAAAAATTAGGATGTACTCTGGGTTAAAAGTCAAGGGTTATTATTATTATAAAATCTTGTACATCATCTAAAAAAAATGAATGAATGAGTGAATCTCAGTGTAAAACAGCTCAGTCTTTACTCTTGATTATATATGACAGTTAAGTGTTAGAGGACTGAAAGCTCACTCTGACAATCGCTATCATTTGCCTCAGCTTAAAGGTCCCGTGTCATGGCCATTTCTACTGATCATAATTCCATTGTTGAGGTCTACTAAAATAGATTTACATTGTTCAATTTTCCAAACTCACATTGGTTTCTCATACAGCATCTCTGTATAGTATGTGGATTCACTCTCTGTCCTAAACGGCTTGTTGACACAGCAAAACCCAGCCCGAACACACACACACTCCGCAGCCTGGCTGGGAGTTTGTGTGTGTGCCCAGGCTGAGTTCCGGGGTGTCTCGCTGTCCCCACACCAGTGAGCCAGCTCACACTGTCCCGCTCCTCGCAACGTCCAGCCGATTGTATGTGTGTGAGGAAGTCCGTGGATTGGTCCAAACGTAACGGCTCCACGGACGTAACCTCACTATACCCGAAATACGTCACTATACCCAAGAAGTAAACAATGGAAAAAGAGAAATGTCCAACGAGGCGTTCTGGGGCAGCACAGACAGGTCTTCTCTGTGTTAGAGTTTTACTCGCTACAGGGTGTACTTTGAGGGTTTTGACTCTGCAAACCGTTTACATGCAGAAAAACCTTCATAACACAAGGGGACGGGTAATAACCAGAAAAGCATAACATGGGACCTTTAAATGTAAACTCTTATATTTTGTCTTCTGGGATACTCACATCTCGGTCATGGCCTCAGGAAGGTGAGCGGGGATGGCGGTGAGGCCCCTCCCTCGACAGTCCACGATGTTGTTGCTGCAGGAACACATCGGAGGACACGAGCCCGACGCCAGGCTGCACGGCTGCACGAACGCACTGCCGCCATTTCCTACAAAACAAAACAATCACATTTACAACTTTAACGCCATCGTACACACTAAGACCTGAGTGTGTTGCGTCTAGGTGGGAACACATCTATTATGAGATCAATCGCAGGTCTTTCTTGTAAGACGTCTTGATACAGAAACGTCAGAAAGTTTTAAAAGCCGATTCTCGATCTACATCCAACATAATGCACTACTTTTTGTGCAGACTGAGCAAAGGAATCTCATTAGAAAAGTCAAATTAAATAGCTTGCAGTCTTCTTAAGTTAATACTTTAACTAAACAAGCAGAGAAATCTTATTCAAAAGAAACAAAGTGTGACTCGAAATCCAACATTTGAAGCATCCAGACGCATCTAAAAATAATGTTATAATCACCCTATACCCCTCTGAATCAGTATACAATGAAGTGGACTACATATTGTGTCTCTCTATTTCTGTACCTGAGCAGGCGAAGTCGCTCTTTCTCAACTCGGCCAGGTTCAGGCCCCTCAGTGTGGGGGGGGGCGCTGCACTGAGTGTAAAGTCCTAAAGACGCCCGCTGCCTCAGCCAAGGAGACAACCAGGCCAGGTGACAGTCACAGCGGAGAGAGTTAGAGTGCAGACGACTGGAGGAGGAGAGGAAGGAAAGGAGAGGGAAGGAAAGGAGAGGAAGAAAGGGAGAGGAAGGAAAGGAGAAGACGGAAAGGCGAGGTAGGAAAGTAGAGGAAGAAAGGGAGAGGAAGGAAAGGAGAGGAAGGAAAGGAGAGGTAGGAAAGGAGAGGAAGGAAAGGATAGGTAGGAAAGGAGAGGAAGGAAGGGAGAGGAAGGAAAGGAGAGGAAAGGAGAGGAAGGAAAGGAGAGGTAGGAAAGGAGAGGAAGGAAAGGAGAGGTAGGAAAGGAGAGGAAGAAAGGGAGAGGAAGGAAAAGAGAGGAAGGAAAGGAGAGGAAGAAATGGAGAGGAAAGAAGGGAGAGGAAGGGAGAGGAAGGAAGGAAAGGAGAGGTAGGAAAGGAGAGGTAGGAACGGAGAGGAAGGAAAGGAGACAATAGACAATAGAGAGGAAAGAGGGAGAAAGTAGTGAAGAAGTGTAGCAGAGAGGAAATAAACAAACATTTAAGAAGACAGGAGAAATAAGTGAATAAAATTAGGTGAACAAATAAGTAAAAGGAGAGAAGTGAAGACAAATAAGAAACAAGTATTGTTAAGTATCTGTCACTGTTCAAATATCATTGTGTTTCTGTTTTTAGAATGTGGCATTGTGGGTAACGTAGTGCATTGAGGTGAAGGACTCACAAGGTGCGGAGCTTCGGCATGTGGTTGAAACTGGAGACTGGAATAGTGCTGATGTTGTTGTTGTTCAGCGTCCTGCGAGGGAGGGAGACCGAAAGAGGAAACAATTTCAAATGGAAAAGGAGGAAGAGGATAAGAAGAATGAAGAGAGAGGTCAGGAAAAGGAATGAGTGAGGGAGAAGAGTGAGAAAGAGATGAGAAGGGTGAGAGAGAAAGAGTGAGACACGATAAGAGGAGAGGAGAGTGAGGGACAATTCTAGAAAATGTGTAAAATAAGCATTAATTTATTGTAAAAACAAACAATTGAGAGTCTAGCAGTATGGTATAATTCATTGCAGTGCCTTATATAACACACACACACACACACACACACACACACACACACACACACACACACACACACACACATGGATATTGACCATGTCTGTCCCCAGAGAAATGCAAATCAATCTGAAGTAGTCGAGGTTTAAGGTTTGCAGGATACTCACAGTACTTCCAGAGACCTCAGAGCTCTGAACGCTCCCTCCTCGATGCAGCTGATGTGGTTTTTATCCAGCTGACTGGTGACGAAAAGAACACAAAACCAGAACAACAATAAAACCAGGACAACAATGACAATAATCACTCAAGGGAGCAAGTAAACTGGGAGGTAGAAAAAAAAAAAAAAAAGGTGTGTGTGTGTGTGTGTGTGTGTGTGTGTGTGTGTGTGTGTGTGTGTGTGTGTGTGTGTGTGTGTGTGTGTGTGTGTGTGTTTCCGAGGCACACCAGGCGTTATAGAGTCCATCAGCACAGCGGGAGGAGAAGAAATCACTCCTGGTGGAGGAAGTGCTAATGGCTCTGCTTTGTGTGTGTGTGTGTGTGTGTGTGTGTGTGTGTGTGTGTGTGTGTGTGTGTGTGTGTGTGTGTGTGTGTGTGTGTGTGTGTGTGTGTACTTTAACTCACAGGTTTTTGAGGCCCGTGGCTCCTCTGAAGGCTCTCCTCGGGATGGACTGGATGGCATTTTCACTCAAATCCCTGAAAAACAAGAAGAGAGAGAAACATGCTGTTTAAAGATAACAGATTTTACTCATTGGTTTACAGATTGTAATGTTTGTACATTCAACAGTTTAAAAACACAGCAAACCTTGCACATCCTATGGTTGCTTACAATTTGTCATACCAGTGTGAGCTGTTAAAGTATTGAATTATTATATTGCTAATGCAACACTGACAAAAAAATCCTCCATCTGCTAAACCCAGATTACTAACAAGGAAGCATGCATTTAAACCAAACTTCAGACATTTTAAAAGGTATATACATTTATAGCATCATAGTTTTAGATCTTAATATACAGTAGTGTTTCCTGCCTCTGTGCTTGTAAGCACTGGATAACTCTCCAGCCTTTACTCCATCAATCCAGTCCTTTAAAGGCCGATCCGCTCCATTACCAGCTAGTTTCCTACCAATCTAAAGATCACTTCCTCTTTATCTTAATGTCATTTTTCACTTCGGCCCTGAGGGATCTGTGGGGGGAGATTCAGCAAAATAAGATTGCTCAGAGACGTGCGAGGGTCACATGTGCTACAGAAGCTTCACAATGACAATAGAGTGGTGCAGGAACGAGTCCTAAAACCTGGAAATGAGTCAGCATTTAACCTGTTAAGCCCTGAGCCTGTTTTTCAGGTCTCAGGCTCGAAAATGACATTCCCAGAACAAATGACCATATCTTCCCTTCTAAAAGGGTTACATTAACAATCTTTTTTCTCAAAGTAATGATAAACCTATGAGTTGGATGTAGAAAAGTCCGAATCATTATAGATGTTTTTTATTTTAAATAAAATTCAGATTGAACATAGTAAAAAACTGTAAATGATAGTGTCCGTCCAAAGATTATTTTTTACTTACAGTGAAAACTAACCTTGGATGATGGGTTAGTAGACTAAAAGCTTTAGGAATCCAAAGTACAACATACAATAAGTACCCTGTATCAAGATTGATGCAAAACAAGTGACATTTGACCTTTTTAGAGAGGTTTAACACAAAAAACTCCACCTCTGAGGTGATTTGGGTGGAAATGGGCGTTTTTTACCGTTTATCTGGAAATCGATTTTGGTGATTGACATCTCTTTTTGACCGTTAGAGCCAATAGAATCGAAGGGGAATTTCCCCACTCACACACACGGTAAAAAGAAAGTGGGGGCTTTGCGCATGCAGTTTTGCATCAGAGCGAACCTATCTCTCGCTCTGACATCTGGAAACGGAAAAGCAGGTTTATTGCTGATGGATTATCAGAAATCATTTCAAAGGGACACAGACACATTGGATTAACCTATGGATTAACTTCAGCAGCGTTTTTATCGTTTTAATGCCATTGAAGACCACTTTTGACCAGACTACGACCAAGGTGAGCCAAGTTGCCGTTTTTAGCTACCTAGCGCCACATGTTTTGATGTCTGTTCTTGTTAATAGCTTCGCGAGTTCTTATCATGGAGTGATGATGTATTTACCGATCGATTCTGTATCATCTCACGATGCGAATCGATGGGTTCTACGAGCAGCTACGATAAGTAATAAGGGTGTTATGAGTGAGTTTCTGTGCAACACGCGTTAGCATTTTTCGCTCGTGGCTAATTCAGAGGCTCAGCGCTAGCTTTGTGGGTTTAAAAAAAAAAAAGATCAGTTAGCTGAGTTTCTTCCCGTTACATGGATATAAAACATTCATAGTTTATTGAATATTAAGATGCCCTCAGAGGCTCAGACGCTGTTTCTTGCAGATGACGCGTTTTTCCCCCGGTGTAGAAGAGGTTAAGCTCTTCCAGTGTCCCTCGTCTAATACTCAATGTGTTGTTGGTTAGATGCTTGAAATAAAGTTTGTGGTTAACAGACGCTGAAGAGATTTTAATGTTTTGTTCTACGACATAAAATACGTAACTTAGTGGTTGCTAACAAGTGTCTAAATGAGACGACTGAACAACATCACGCCCAACATTAGCCGTCATTAGCTTAGCAATAAAATCATAAAGTGCTGTAATTATGTGGAGATTATCCTGCTGAACAAAACGTGTAAGTATCATAAAGGTGTGATATGTCAAATGTTCAATAATTCAAAATCCAAGGAGAAATCCCACTGCTTTTTGTCGAAGGATTCTGTGTGACGCTAACTTACTCACAAAAAAGGAAAGGACAGACAAACAACAACAACAGCTGATAAAGGCACAACTACAAGGGTGTGTGTGTGTGTGTGTGTGTGTGTGTGTGTGTGTGTGTGTGTGTGTGTGTGTGTGTGTGTGTGTGTGTGTGTGTGTGTGTGTGTGTTAGATAGACTGCAGTGGAGGATGTTCATCATCCATCGCTGCCCTGGAGGACCTCAAGACACACTCCATTAACGTCAGGGTCAAACCAGAGAGCCTGACAGAGGAGGAAAACCCTGCTTACTGAGACGCACACTGCTCATATAATACAATGTCTGACATCCTCAGAACACACTCACACACAGTGTTACTCTGTATCTGAGACGAACTGTTTTCTCTGCAGAAGAGTAATTAATGATAAATGCTGTTGTTGCATTTACTAACACTGTACTACACTTTACTCCTCAACTAATTACTGTCACAAATATTTTAGATATTTTTGGAGCTCTACTGTACCAGACTGAAATGTCAAGTTTGATGTTGCTTTGATGTTTAATATGCTACATGATAACTTGCTAACGACCAGCATGTTAACAGCTAACAGTGGTAAGGTTGGATGTCAATGCATTTAGTGTATTGAAGCATTGTTCTTTCATTGAAGATTATTTGGTCTAAAACAAAGCCAGAAAAAGGAGAAATGGCTAACCTAGTTTCTTTAATTTCTCATTTTTTAAATTCTAAACGACAAGGCACCCCCACCACTCTGCACTTTTATACAGCAGAACCACAAGGGACTGTGTAGTCCCTCTTCAGTTCCTTTGGTAAGCACTGTTTCTCTGTGAGGGCATCAACACTTTGGAACACAATCCAGATAAGGAATAACACCTCCTATCATACATGTAACCGCAATCATAAGAACTGGCTTCTAAGCAATCAAAAATGTGAACACTTTTAACGGTATCAAGGTATAGATAGATAGATCTTTAATGTTGTCATTGTACATTGTACAACGAAATTACAATAAACTCAAGGTGCCAACACGCAACAACAAGACAATATAAAAACAACAAGACACTATAAAAACAATAAATGGGACTTAAAATAGACATGATAGGGAATATGTACATACATAAATAATAAATTGCACGATTCCCCTCGTATTGCACGGAAGGCTTATATAATTTAAATATTAGCAGCGTTCAGTGCACATATGGCCCTGGGGAAAAAACTGAACTTGAGTCTGTTTGTCCGGGAAGGCATGGTACGGAAGCGCCTGCCTGAGCGCAGCCGTACGAAGTGCTCGTTACCCGGGATGGTGTGGATCCTTGAGGAGCTTGACTGCCTTCTTAAGGCAACGAGAGCTGTACAGTACCTCCAGGGAGGGGAGGGGGCAACCGATGATCTTCTGGGCCGAGTTGATGACCCTTTGGAGCGCACCCCTCTCTGCGGCTGTGCAGCTGAGGAACCACACGCAGATGCAGTCGGTGAGGATGCTGTTTGTTTGTTCCTCTCTATTGTTGTACTGCTGTTCCTCTCTATTGTTGTACTGATGTTGTCTGCTGTACTCTATTTAATTGTGTTTTTATTTCTCTAGTCTTGTTGTGGTCATTTAACATCTTGCCAAGGACAACAGTTGAAAATTAGCCTGCTGGCTAATACTGGCTCATTTACAGCAATGTGGATTAATGTGCACTTTAAATAAATAAACTAAACTAATTCTGTTATGTTTATGATGTCGTGTCAGGGCAAACCCAAGAACTGTGTGGTTTAATATAATATCCAACAGTAAAGAGTAAATCTCCATATTGAGTGGGTGAAAATGGCATTTTCTGCCATTTTTGCTTGAAAAGTTACTTAAAAAAAGAATTATTCACCAACATAGTTTGCCAAAAGAGTATTGGTTGCAGCACTATTGATCATCACATCTTAAAGCAAATACTGTAGACATTCAAACGGGTCTGTCAGTTTCCAGTAGTTTCTGTTGAATGTTCAGTGGAACCAGAGGAAGTCAGCTGTAAAAAACACAGCTTAAAATAAAACGGGAGTAAAGTAAATGAAAGTAAACTCCACACTGTCTGAGGTATCGTTGTGGTTCTGAAGCTGAGCCGAGTCTAAGACATGAAACAAGCAGTGAGGAGGTGATGACGGATATACAGAGTGACGGAGGAGTGAGAAGTGGATGCAGAGACACACGGGACATGATGGAGGGGGTGCAGGACAAGGAGGGCGACACAGGGATCAAGAAAAACAGCAATCAAATGGTAAGAAAATAGTAATTATTTGATGAATACAATCTTCAAAAAAAGGCGTTTCGGACCGACTGACTCCAGAGCAGACTCCGAACACAGAGAAGGGATTTTGGATGTTGGAAATGGAGATTGATTTGTTTGAATATTATTTGTGTGAGCAGATAGACGATGATTCTGTAAATATATAATCTGTAACCTTCCACAGAAATAGAATCGAGATCCTTTATTCTTTTTTCGATTCACAAATAAAAACTGGATTTCAAAATGCCTGATTTAAAGTGGTAAATGTTAGAAAGACAATCACTTGTAAATCTATCGATGTATTGACATTTTCTCCGAATTTGTTGAATTGTTTGTGTATCTATTGTTTATTTTTAGGTGTTCAAACTAATTATCCCGAGACAAATGTACCTCTTTAGTTGGTGCTGAGGAAAAGGGTGAATGTGCTACTTGGTGTTAAAACTCACATGAATAGTGGAAAAACAACAAATAAGGACAAATCAAAATGATAGGGAAGTATAAAACCTAAGAGGCATTATAGGAGTCAGTGTAAGAGAAGAAATAAGCCATCAACCAGACTTTGAGAACATTGGGAGCAGAAGAGAGAGACTGTGATGGAGATGGAAAGGGAAAGGGAGGCTTGATAGAACGAGCCGGAGGAGAGAAGAGTCAGAGTCCACAATCAGTTGCTCTGCTTCACTTCAGAGAGAGCTGAAGGTCAGTGAACCAAACTAACCCTTCACTTAATGTCCGGCTGACCCTCGCTGCTCCAGACAGCGCACTTAATATCTACTGGATCTCAGCGGGAGAAAACTAATGTTGTCAGAAGGACTGTAGTTGTGTGTGTCGATTTGAAAGATACTGCTTAGAGGACAGTAGGAGGTTTCAGAGTTTTGAAGACAATTATTTCAAATCTGAAAATCAATGTAAAGGAACAATAAGAAAAGAGTAGGTTTCAAGTCTCAGAAGGTTAACACAAGCAGGTTTTTTATCCAACTATGGTGAACAGAGCAGATTTCTTTGACAGCAAGG